CGAACGTGACGTCCTGAGAGGGGAAGACACGGCGCGAGACAGGGTGGTAAAACTGCCAGCCAGGCGCGTCAGGGACAAAACCAAGGAAGACACAGGGAACAGCGCGACGCGAGAGCTTGTCCGCGGACGTGTCGCGGACAAAGGCACGAGATCCCCAGACGCGGAACACCGACCTCCATGACCAGGCCAATGCGGCGCTCAGCAACCCCATTCTGCTGCGGAGAGGCCGGAAGCGTGAACGTCTGCTCAATGCCCTCCTCCTGACAGAAGGCGCTCAAGAGGTCGGAGGAAAACTCACCGCCCCTATCAGAGTGCAGTCGCAGGACCGGAAGGTCCGAGCGAAAGCGCCGCTCCAGCTGGAGACGAGTAGCGCGGATCCAAGGGATCAAGACATCAGGGACCTCACCCTTGGTGCGCAAGGGGAAGACCGTGGTGTAGCGCGTGTAGTCGTCAACTACCAGCAGAAAGTAGCGCTCCCCGCCCTGTCCACGGACGCGGGCAGGGCCCCACACGTCCAGGTGGAGTGTCTGCAGAGGAGCCTCCGTCGGGGGAAACGCAGAAGAGTGAGGAGCAGCGCGCTGCCGCCCCTCGACACAGGGAATACAGGGAGGAGCCGGCGAGGGTGGGAGGGGAGGGAGAACCCTGGGAAGACCAGAGACAAGGTACCGCTGGTGCATGGTCCGAAGGCGCTGCACGGACGGGTGGCCAAGTCGGTGGTGCCAGAGGACGGTGTCGTGCGCGAGAGACCGACACGAGCAGGGGGCGGACAGCTGACCTGACGCAGACGCAGACGCAGCCACCTGTGGGGACCCAGTGGTCAGTGTGTACAGGTCCGACCCTGGCTCCCGAGTGAAGGTAGCCAGGTGACGACCCGTCCGAGCACACGAGCAGTGTGTCACACGCTCGTAGGCAGGGGTGAACTGGTGAACACCCCCGTCCTGGAGCGCGCTACCTGCGACCAAGTTCGTAGAGAACGAGGGGAGGTAGAGCCCTGACAGTGTGCCGGACGGGACCGCCGGACAGGGAAGGACAGTGGAGGAGGTCGCAATGACCGGACCCCCAGAGGGGTCAGTCAGGGAGACAGCAACTGGCCGAGCAAGTGGCTCAAGGGCAGTGCGGTCACGAAAGAAACAGCGTGAAGCACCTGAGTCCAGGGTGAAGGTGTGCAGTGCCTCAGTCGACTCAGTACCAGGGGGGACAGACGCACGAGCACCTAGAGCGACAGCCTCACCATCACCTGAGGGAGCAGACACGCAAGTACCTGCAGCGGCAGTCTCACTAGCACCTGGAGCGGCAGTCTCACTGGTCAGAATGCCCGGGTCGGGCGGAACACACAAGTACTGAGCACCCTCTCCACTAGTAAACATGGCATACATGGCAGTGAGAATAGCATCAAAGTCTAGAGCCCAGATATCAACCCCCTTCCTCTCCAGATCAGCCCAGCGGGGCAGCTCAGCGCCATCAGGGAACTGGGTGCGCCAAGCGTCGGTAAGGCGCGCGAAACAGCGCTGCGTGGGGTGCGGCCTCCCACACTGCTGACCAGTGCGGTCACCAGTGCGGATGACATACGTGCAGCTAAGACGCTGGGCATACCACTCACGGGCCTCCTGGAGCGACGGAGTGTGCTGCTGGCTCAGACCACCGCCAGCGCCTCCACGGCCTCCACCACTGCCGCCACCTCCGCGACCACCGCCTCCCCTGCCGCTGCCACGACCACCTCCGCCCCCACCGCCGCCCCCGCCCCTGCCACCGCCCCCGCCGCTGCCGTCACCACCCCCACTACCGCCACTAGCCTCTCCCGCCCCTCCTCCACCCCCACCGCCTCCACCCCCACCGCCCCCGCCGCCACCTCCACCCTTGCCCCCCTTCGTCCTGCGGCGCCCGCTCGAAGCAGACGCGGTCCCGACCTTCTCAGCACCAAGAAGGTCGACAGCAGAAGCAGAGGCGACAGAGGGAAGGAGGGGGGAAGGGGAACACCCCTCAAAGAAAGGAGTGCGGGGGTCACCACGAGAGGCACCTACAGCGACGACACTCGCCTCGGCTGCAAGTAGCTCCTTCTCGAGGAGGGCAATGGTGAGCTCAGTGGGGCAGCGAGCTAGAAACTGGTCCCTGACTGCGCGCAGAGAGTCAGGGAGGCGGGTGACTAGGTGGTAGAGAACGAGCCAGAGCGGGGGGGGGTTGTTAGCTAGGAACTCGGCAGGCATAGCAGCGCGGAAGCGGGCCTCACTAGTCTTGAGGTGGGTGATGAGGTCAGCAACGGTGTGGAAGGAGGCCAGGTCGGGGAACAGGTAGGGGAGGGAGAGGCGGCCTAGTGCGGCAGAAGCAGGCGAGGAGTAGCGAGCAACTACAGCAGTGTACAGGTCCTTAGCAGTCTTGTGCTGGCCAAAGTGCTCGCGCTCATCTAGTGGCAGGGAGTTGCGAATAGCAAAGCGAGCGTGAGCGTCACGAGTCTGCCACTGTGAGCGCTGAGTGCTGTCAGCAGTAGTAGGAGGTGCAGTAGCGTGGCCTAGGGCGTGATCGTACAGTGAAATATCTTCCTTGGCAGTGAGCTGTAGGTAGAGGTGCAGGTCATCGAGCCAGGTGTCAAACTTCACTGGGCGGCCCTCAGCATCAAAAGCGAGTACAGGAGGAGTAGCCATAGCAGCAGTAGCAGTGGCAGTAGCAGCAGTAGAAGTAGCAGCAGTAGCAGTAGTGTAGTGCAGGTAGGACAGCGCGGCTCGGCTAGGGCGGCGCGGCTCGGTTCGGGGCGCGCGGCTCGGCTCGGTCTGGGCGGCTCGGTTCGGGTCGCGCGGCTCGGCTTGGATCGGGCGGGTGTGGGGTTTGCGGGCCGTTGGGGCCGTTAGGGGCGAGCGCAGGGCCGATCGGGGCCGCTAGGGGCTAGCGCGGGGCCATTCGGGGCCTCTAGGGGCGAGCGCAGGGCCGTACGAGGCCGTAAGGGGCGGGCGCGGGGCCGTTCGGGGCCGTAAGGGGCGAGCGCGGGGCCGATCGGGGCCGCTAGGGGCTAGCGCGGGGCCGGTCGGGGCCTCTAGGGGCGAGCGCAGGGCCGTACGGGGCCGTAAGGGGCGGGCGCGGGGCCGTTCGGGGCCGTAAGGGGCGAGCGCGGGGCCGATCGGGGCCGCTAGGGGCTAGCGCGGGGCCGTTCGGGGCCTCTAGGGGCGAGCGCGGGGCCGATCGGGGCCACTAAGGGCTAGCGCGGGGCCGTTCGGGGCCTCTAGGGGCGAGCGCGGGGCCGTACGGGGCCGTGAAAAACGAGGCGCCCTAGGGCGCAGGTAGGTAGGTAGGTAGGTAGGTAGGTAGTGGTGGGCCCTAAAACGGTCCTAGTGAAGGACCTGCTCTGAAACCATGTCGGAAAGAACGAACAGGAATGATGAACTAACAGTGCAAAACAGTACAAGTACCTAACCCTAGAATCGTGTAGCCTACACAAGCATAACATATACAATGTTTGACAGTACCTCGTGGTAGGTCATTCTATGCGAATTTTTATGATTACCATGTAGATTACAGAACATCATGGCGTCTCTCTTCTTGTCCAGCTTTCTCGCTCATCCCCCTCCTCCTCCTCCGTCCACCTCATTCTCTTGTCCGCCTATCTTTGTATTTCCTTTCTCAAGTTCTTTTACATCTCCTTATTTTAACCGTGATTTCTTTGGCGTTGTCTCTTCATCTGATCTTTCCCTTCGTTTCTTCTTTTCGCTTATCCCTAATCGTATTAAGTGTCGTGAGAGAGCTCACAGTTCTCATTAATGTTGTCTGTCTTATTCAAACTTTGTGACAGCAATATTTTTTGCAAATCGAAGCGGAACACTCAGTAGAAGACCTTAACAGATTTCTCTTGTTGTTGTTTGTCTTTGTTTCTTTGCTTAATTTATATCGTAGCATTATGTCGTATTCATGTATCTGTTCATGTTGCTGTACAAGGGCAGCAACCCAAGATGCTACGTCGTTTTGGATTGTTGAAAGCCATGGTTTATTGAAGCCGTAGTTTATTGAAGTCTCTCTCTCTCTCTCTCTCTCTCTCTCTCTCTCTCTCTCTCTCTCTCTCTCTCTCTCTCTCTCTCTCTCTCTCTCTCTCGCTCTCTCTCTCTCTCCCTCTCTCTCTCTCTCTCTCTCTCTCCTCTCTCTCTCTCTCTCTCTCTCTCTCTCTCTCTCTCTCTCTCTCTCTCTCTCTCTCGCTCTTGCTCTCCGTCGTTCTCACTCTCCGTATTCGTTACATTCTCTTCTTTCGTTTACTGTCTCGTTATGTGTTTTTCCCTCTGTTCCCGTACCTTACTTTCGTTGATGCCTCGGTACATTCTTCTCCTTTGATATTTATCAGCTCTAACCCTTCATTACTGACGGCGTTTTTCTTAGCCTTTGTATTGTTTTATTCGTTTCTTCGTTTCTTTTCTCGTTATTTCATCACTCCTCATGCCCTTTTCTTGTTTTTGTTTGTACCGACTATTTCTTTCCGTTCCTCCTTTCCACTCCATAAACCCGTTTCTCAAGAGCCTTGCTGGTCAAGAAGGCAATTTCAATCTGAAAAATGTGTATTGGTCACTTATAGGATTTATCTTATTGTCGTTTTAACGTTGATTTGCATGTTTTTTATTATCTCGTGTTTTTCGCTGGGTTTGCCGGTGTTCGTGCTTTTGAGTGTGTAATATGAAAATTTTCAAAAGTGTAACACTTTCTAAAAATGTGTATTTTGAAAGCGAAGCTGCTTGTAATGCAGCAATGGCAAATGCGAAGTGCTAGACGCTCTTCGCCAACTATATAGCAGGGGGTGGAGGCCTCCACCCACGTCTTCGTTTGAAATTTCAAATGTATTATTTCATTCTCGTCCGTCGACCTGGTGCTTCCCGTTTTTCCTCGGTCTCTCCCTTCTCTCAAGAAATAGTAGGCATTTAGCTTGGTTGACATGACACAATACGAGTTTCAGAAATGCCTTGCGGGTACACCCGTCTGCACAATAGGCGCGGACGTTTGGGGCTAATAAGGCGAAAGCGCCACTGGCGCGCATGGTGACGAAATCGTCACAAGCGCGCGTGACGACGAAATCGTCACAGGCGCACGTGGCGACGAATTTGCCACAGGCGCGCGTGGCTACGACATCACCACAGGCGCGCGTGGCGATGGCGCTCGTGGCGACGAAATCGCCACAGGCGCGCGTGGCGACGAAATCGCCACAGGCGCGCGTAGTGACATCGCAAGTGGCGGACGTGGCGTCAAAATCGCCTGCGGCGCAGGTGGCGCCAGTGGCGCTCATGGCGCCGAAAGGGTCAATATCGCCACTGGCGCATGTGGCTACGAAAATGCCAGTGGCGCGCAATAACCCAGGGGCGCGTCCAGAGGAACTCCTCCAGCAGGGCATGACGGCGAAATCCCCCGAAGGCGAGATTCCAGTGGCGCGCCAGAAACAAACTGGTGTGGCAGATGCGCTTCTATTGCTGAAATTTGTCAACGAATAACTTCTTATTTTTGCATACGTTTCCACCTTGTCTTCGTACGTATGTTCGGTTTTTGTTGGTCTTCATTTTTCTCTTGTGTTATTTCCTAATCTTGGTCGCAGTAAATCGGTCCGAGGCAACTACGATAGCTTTGGATCGCCATGAAAGACCACCGGCCAAGAAAGACTGCGGCAAACATTTGGCCCAACCCCAGGGGCTCCAGTGGGAAATCGGGACCGGGGGCCCCGCGCCAGCCGGAAAAGGACCGGTGGGTCCTGTGCTGGCCAGCGAGCTCCCCAGGGGGGAGGAGGACCGGTGGGTCCTGTGCTGGCCAGCGAGCTCCCCAGGGGGGAGGAGGACCGGTGGGTCCTGTGCTGGCCAGCGAGCTCCCCAGGGGGGAGGAGGACCGGTGGGTCCTGTGCTGGCCAGCGAGCTCCCCAGGGGGGAGGAGGACCGGTGGGTCCTGTGCTGGCCAGTTAGCTCCCCAGGGGGGAGGAGGACCGGTGGGTCCTGTGCTGGCCAGCGAGCTCCCCAGGGGGGAGGAGGACCGGTGGGTCCTGTGCTGGCCAGCGAGCTCCCCAGGGGGGAGGAGGACCGGTGGGTCCTGTGCTGGCCAGCGAGCTCCCCAGGGGGGAGGAGGACCGGTGGGTCCTGTGCTGGCCAGCGAGCTCCCCAGGGGGGAGGAGGACCGGTGGGTCCTGTGCTGGCCAGCGAGCTCCCCAGGGGGGAGGAGGACCGGTGGGTCCTGTGCTGGCCAGCGAGCTCCCCAGGGGGGAGGAGGACCGGTGGGTCCTGTGCTGGCCAGCGAGCTCCCCAGGGGGGAGGAGGACCGGTGGGTCCTGTGCTGGCCAGCGAGCTCCCCAGGGGGGAGGAGGACCGGTGGGTCCTGTGCTGGCCAGCGAGCTCCCCAGGGGGGAGGAGGACCGGTGGGTCCTGTGCTGGCCAGCGAGCTCCCCAGGGGGGAGGAGGACCGGTGGGTCCTGTGCTGGCCAGCGAGCTCCCCAGGGGGGAGGAGGACCGGTGGGTCCTGTGCTGGCCAGCGAGCTCCCCAGGGGGGAGGAGGACCGGTGGGTCCTGTGCTGGCCAGCGAGCTCCCCAGGGGGGAGGAGGACCGGTGGGTCCTGTGCTGGCCAGCGAGCTCCCCAGGGGGGAGGAGGACCGGTGGGTCCTGTGCTGGCCAGCGAGCTCCCCAGGGGGGAGGAGGACCGGTGGGTCCTGTGCTGGCCAGCGAGCTCCCCAGGGGGGAGGAGGACCGGTGGGTCCTGTGCTGGCCAGCGAGCTCCCCAGGGGGGAGGAGGACCGGTGGGTCCTGTGCTGGCGAGCGGGCTCCCCAGGGGGGAGGAGGACCGGTGGGTCCTGTGCTGGCCAGCGAGCTCCCCAGGGGGGAGGAGGACCGGTGGGTCCTGTGCTGGCCAGCGAGCTCCCCAGGGGGGAGGAGGACCGGTGGGTCCTGTGCTGGCCAGCGAGCTCCCCAGGGGGGAGGAGGACCGGTGGGTCCTGTGCTGGCCAGCGAGCTCCCCAGGGGGGAGGAGGACCGGTGGGTCCTGTGCTGGCCAGCGAGCTCCCCAGGGGGGAGGAGGACCGGTGGGTCCTGTGCTGGCCAGCGAGCTCCCCAGGGGGGAGGAGGACCGGTGGGTCCTGTGCTGGCCAGCGAGCTCCCCAGGGGGGAGGAGGACCGGTGGGTCCTGTGCTGGCCAGCGAGCTCCCCAGGGGGGAGGAGGACCGGTGGGTCCTGTGCTGGCCAGCGAGCTCCCCAGGGGGGAGGAGGACCGGTGGGTCCTGTGCTGGCCAGCGAGCTCCCCAGGGGGGAGGAGGACCGGTGGGTCCTGTGCTGGCCAGCGAGCTCCCCAGGGGGGAGGAGGACCGGTGGGTCCTGTGCTGGCCAGCGAGCTCCCCAGGGGGGAGGAGGACCGGTGGGTCCTGTGCTGGCCAGCGAGCTCCCCAGGGGGGAGGAGGACCGGTGGGTCCTGTGCTGGCCAGCGAGCTCCCCAGGGGGGAGGAGGACCGGTGGGTCCTGTGCTGGCCAGCGAGCTCCCCAGGGGGGAGGAGGACCGGTGGGTCCTGTGCTGGCCAGCGAGCTCCCCAGGGGGGAGGAGGACCGGTGGGTCCTGTGCTGGCCAGCGAGCTCCCCAGGGGGGAGGAGGACCGGTGGGTCCTGTGCTGGCCAGCGAGCTCCCCAGGGGGGAGGAGGACCGGTGGGTCCTGTGCTGGCCAGCGAGCTCCCCAGGGGGGAGGAGGACCGGTGGGTCCTGTGCTGGCCAGCGAGCTCCCCAGGGGGGAGGAGGACCGGTGGGTCCTGTGCTGGCCAGCGAGCTCCCCAGGGGGGAGGAGGACCGGTGGGTCCTGTGCTGGCCAGCGAGCTCCCCAGGGGGGAGGAGGACCGGTGGGTCCTGTGCTGGCCAGCGAGCTCCCCAGGGGGGAGGAGGACCGGTGGGTCCTGTGCTGGCCAGCGAGCTCCCCAGGGGGGAGGAGGACCGGTGGGTCCTGTGCTGGCCAGCGAGCTCCCCAGGGGGGAGGAGGACCGGTGGGTCCTGTGCTGGCCAGCGAGCTCCCCAGGGGGGAGGAGGACCGGTGGGTCCTGTGCTGGCCAGCGAGCTCCCCAGGGGGGAGGAGGACCGGTGGGTCCTGTGCTGGCCAGCGAGCTCCCCAGGGGGGAGGAGGACCGGTGGGTCCTGTGCTGGCCAGCGAGCTCCCCAGGGGGGAGGAGGACCGGTGGGTCCTGTGCTGGCCAGCGAGCTCCCCAGGGGGGAGGAGGACCGGTGGGTCCTGTGCTGGCCAGCGAGCTCCCCAGGGGGGAGGAGGACCGGTGGGTCCTGTGCTGGCCAGCGAGCTCCCCAGGGGGGAGGAGGACCGGTGGGTCCTGTGCTGGCCAGCGAGCTCCCCAGGGGGGAGGAGGACCGGTGGGTCCTGTGCTGGCCAGCGAGCTCCCCAGGGGGGAGGAGGACCGGTGGGTCCTGTGCTGGCCAGCGAGCTCCCCAGGGGGGAGGAGGACCGGTGGGTCCTGTGCTGGCCAGCGAGCTCCCCAGGGGGGAGGAGGACCGGTGGGTCCTGTGCTGGCCAGCGAGCTCCCCAGGGGGGAGGAGGACCGGTGGGTCCTGTGCTGGCCAGCGAGCTCCCCAGGGGGGAGGAGGACCGGTGGGTCCTGTGCTGGCCAGCGAGCTCCCCAGGGGGGAGGAGGACCGGTGGGTCCTGTGCTGGCCAGCGAGCTCCCCAGGGGGGAGGAGGACCGGTGGGTCCTGTGCTGGCCAGCGAGCTCCCCAGGGGGGAGGAGGACCGGTGGGTCCTGTGCTGGCCAGCGAGCTCCCCAGGGGGGAGGAGGACCGGTGGGTCCTGTGCTGGCCAGCGAGCTCCCCAGGGGGGAGGAGGACCGGTGGGTCCTGTGCTGGCCAGCGAGCTCCCCAGGGGGGAGGAGGACCGGTGGGTCCTGTGCTGGCCAGCGAGCTCCCCAGGGGGGAGGAGGACCGGTGGGTCCTGTGCTGGCCAGCGAGCTCCCCAGGGGGGAGGAGGACCGGTGGGTCCTGTGCTGGCCAGCGAGCTCCCCAGGGGGGAGGAGGACCGGTGGGTCCTGTGCTGGCCAGCGAGCTCCCCAGGGGGGAGGAGGACCGGTGGGTCCTGTGCTGGCCAGCGAGCTCCCCAGGGGGGAGGAGGACCGGTGGGTCCTGTGCTGGCCAGCGAGCTCCCCAGGGGGGAGGAGGACCGGTGGGTCCTGTGCTGGCCAGCGAGCTCCCCAGGGGGGAGGAGGACCGGTGGGTCCTGTGCTGGCCAGCGAGCTCCCCAGGGGGGAGGAGGACCGGTGGGTCCTGTGCTGGCCAGCGAGCTCCCCAGGGGGGAGGAGGACCGGTGGGTCCTGTGCTGGCCAGCGAGCTCCCCAGGGGGGAGGAGGACCGGTGGGTCCTGTGCTGGCCAGCGAGCTCCCCAGGGGGGAGGAGGACCGGTGGGTCCTGTGCTGGCCAGCGAGCTCCCCAGGGGGGAGGAGGACCGGTGGGTCCTGTGCTGGCCAGCGAGCTCCCCAGGGGGGAGGAGGACCGGTGGGTCCTGTGCTGGCCAGCGAGCTCCCCAGGGGGGAGGAGGACCGGTGGGTCCTGTGCTGGCCAGCGAGCTCCCCAGGGGGGAGGAGGACCGGTGGGTCCTGTGCTGGCCAGCGAGCTCCCCAGGGGGGAGGAGGACCGGTGGGTCCTGTGCTGGCCAGCGAGCTCCCCAGGGGGGAGGAGGACCGGTGGGTCCTGTGCTGGCCAGCGAGCTCCCCAGGGGGGAGGAGGACCGGTGGGTCCTGTGCTGGCCAGCGAGCTCCCCAGGGGGGAGGAGGACCGGTGGGTCCTGTGCTGGCCAGCGAGCTCCCCAGGGGGGAGGAGGACCGGTGGGTCCTGTGCTGGCCAGCGAGCTCCCCAGGGGGGAGGAGGACCGGTGGGTCCTGTGCTGGCCAGCGAGCTCCCCAGGGGGGAGGAGGACCGGTGGGTCCTGTGCTGGCCAGCGAGCTCCCCAGGGGGGAGGAGGACCGGTGGGTCCTGTGCTGGCCAGCGAGCTCCCCAGGGGGGAGGAGGACCGGTGGGTCCTGTGCTGGCCAGCGAGCTCCCCAGGGGGGAGGAGGACCGGTGGGTCCTGTGCTGGCCAGCGAGCTCCCCAGGGGGGAGGAGGACCGGTGGGTCCTGTGCTGGCCAGCGAGCTCCCCAGGGGGGAGGAGGACCGGTGGGTCCTGTGCTGGCCAGCGAGCTCCCCAGGGGGGAGGAGGACCGGTGGGTCCTGTGCTGGCCAGCGAGCTCCCCAGGGGGGAGGAGGACCGGTGGGTCCTGTGCTGGCCAGCGAGCTCCCCAGGGGGGAGGAGGACCGGTGGGTCCTGTGCTGGCCAGCGAGCTCCCCAGGGGGGAGGAGGACCGGTGGGTCCTGTGCTGGCCAGCGAGCTCCCCAGGGGGGAGGAGGACCGGTGGGTCCTGTGCTGGCCAGCGAGCTCCCCAGGGGGGAGGAGGACCGGTGGGTCCTGTGCTGGCCAGCGAGCTCCCCAGGGGGGAGGAGGACCGGTGGGT